GGGGCTGGAGGCCCCGGAGGGCAGGGGGTGGGTGGTCGAGGCCGGGGCGGGCTCCGGGGTGCGGGTGCGGACCGACGGACCCAGCAGCACGGTCCCGCGGACGGTCCCCGGCCGCACCTCGGGGCGGGCGCCGGGCCAGGGACAGCTGGGGTGCCGGCCGGGGCCCCGCGGGGACGGCCTGGGAGGTCTGGGGCTGGCGAGGAGGGAGGGGGCTTGGGGCCTGGATGTGAATGACCATGACCTGGTTCAGCCCCTCCCTTCCCGGCACTGAGGCATCTGTGGGGACTGGCTTATTCCTCTCCCTCTTCCAAGGTAGCCCTGACTTAGGAGGGTCTCAGCCCTCCCCGCGCAGGCTCCACTTCCCAGATCCCCGCCATCCCACCCTCCTCTCCTGCTTCTTCCCACAGCTGTCCTGAAGCCCCAGGAAGCCCTAGCTCAGCCTCCTCCCACCACGGACAGCTTGGAGTCAGAAGGTGAGTACCCAGGGTGTGTGTGTGGGAGGGCTGGCCTAGGGCAAGGATGAGAGCCAGGTCGGTGGGGAGGAGCACTTTCCGGCTAGGCAGGCCTGACCCCAATCGGTGCCCTACTCAACTCCCCTCTGTTCTGTCTTGGAGTTCCTTGTGGTCTTTCTCCCTGTCATCCCACAAAGCCTCTGCCCAGCTGTGAGCTAGCTCACTCACAGGTAGGTGAGGAGACGCCAGGAAAGGTGTATGTGGAAGTTCCTGCCAGGCTGGGCTGGGAAGGGCTGCCGCACATGGAGGTCAAGCGATTCCTGCCTGGGACTCTCTCCTCAGCCAGTGTCTTGCTGGGGAACTTTCCAGAGGGCTCCCATGTTTGAAGACAGGTAGCCCACCTTGGAAGTACCTGGCCAGAGGGTTGGGAGGGAGGGAAGGGCTGTGGTCATTGTGCAATATCTGTGCCCACAGAGAAGACGGTGGAGGAGCACTACAAGACAATTGTCCAAGTTTGCTGGGACGATTATAAGGGTCAAATGGACCCTATCGAAAAGGACTGGTGCGACTGGGCCACGATTAGCAGGTAGGGGCAGGCCTGGAGGTGGCTCAGGCCGGAGCTTAGGCCTGCTCACTGAGAGTGGACCTTAGTGAGTGTGGGCACGCCCCTCCCCAGGCCCAACCCCTCCCTCACTCAAGTTCTCTGTTGCCTCCAGGCCCTACAGCACCCTGCGAGATTGCTTGGAGCAGAATGCAGAGGATTTTGGCCTGGGCTTCCCCAATCCCTGGGCAGAGAGGATCATCTTTGAGACCCACCAGATCCACTTTGCCAACTGCTCCCTGGTGCAGCCCACCTTCTCCGACCCCCCGGAGGATGTACTCCTGGCCATGATCATAGCCCCCATCTGCCTCATCCCCATCCTCATCACGCTGGTGGTGTGGAGGAGTAAGGACAGTGAGGCCCAGGCCTAGGGGGGCACCAGCTTCTCAACAGCCAGCTTATTCCTCTCCCCTGTTCCCACCAGGTATCCCTCCTTCCCTTCCTGTTCCCTTCTCTCACTGCCACCTACTACAGATCCCTGGATTGGTGGAAATGGAAGGGGTCACAGCAAAAGTTCTGTAATCTTCAAAATAAAACTTTTTGTACAATGCTCCCCTCCCCATTTCAGTGGGACCTGTGTCCTTCCCCCAGTCCCTGCGACTCCCACAGGCTCTGAGCTCTGGGCAGTAGAGCTGGAAGAATCTGGGTGGCCCCACTGTTCTGCTCATTTCGCCTGTCCCTCTGCTCCTTCCCCCGGCCCCCATGAAGTCTATACCCCTATATTCCTTCCTGCCAGGCGGGGGCCTTTCCTGCCCTTATCCAAACCCGGTCTGCAGGAAACAAGCAGGAAGAGACTCCCTTCCTGTCTGGATAGCAACTGGGGGCCTGCGATTGGGGCAGTGTGGGGGAGGGGCAAGGGAGGGATCCGCTGTGACTCCTGCAAGAAGGTAGGAAGGCTATCAAGGAGCCCAGATGTTCTTCCTTCTTCATACCTCAGTTTATTCTCAGGACCTGGAAAGAGGAATCCTGACCCAAACAACAGGGATCCATCCCTAAGGACCTCACGGTTGAGGTCAAGGGCAGTGGGGTGTTCCGCTCCTAAGTTCACCGCCTTCAGGCCCCTTGCCCTCATCCTGCTTTGTCCTGGACTGGGTGTGGCCTACCTCCTGGCCACACACTGCCCCCTGGTGTCCACTAAAGCCAACGACCAGAAGATCTGTGTGAGCAGGAGGACGCTCAAAGCTGAGGAGCATTGGACCCTGGGGTCAGAAAACTGTCATCTCCATAGCAACTACTAGTTCTTGGCTAGAACCGTTTACCAGCTGCTTGAGACACTGTCCCACTTTTTTTTTAAGTTGTGGGGTACAATTCAGGGTTAGGTATACAAATGATCATTGTGTAAGTAAAGTTTGGGCCCCACTTTGGTCCCCACATCACCTGGTTTGAGACCAGATACCCTTATTGATGAGGTGTGCCCTCCCTGCCTCCCCCGAAAGTTTCCCACTACTGTCAATCCCTTCTTTTTTTTTTTTTTTTGAGTTGGAATCTCACTCTGTCACCCAGGCTGGAGTGCAGTGACACGCTCACGGCCACCGCAGCCTCGACCTGCTGGGCTCAGGCAATCCTTCCACCTCAGCCTTCCAAGTAGTTGGAACTACAGATGTGCACCGCCATGCGCAGATAATTTTTTGATTTACTGTAGAGATGAGATCTTGCCAAGTTGCCCAGGCTTGTCTCGAACCCCTGGACTCTGGCTATCCTCTCTCCTCCATCTCCCAAAGTGCTGGGATTACAGGCTTGAGCCACTGTGCCCAGCCTGCCAATCCCTTACAGTATTATGATAATTGTTCATGGTCTTCTTAGAGTGAACTGTCCCACTTTTTAGGATCATACCTAACCCCTCTCTGCAACTCACCAGTTCTGCATATGCACACCCCTCTGACAACAAGGTCCTGTTTTCACCAAGTAAACCACCACCCCAGCCTCCTTGGGACACACCTGCCAGGTCACCAAAACATCCACAAAACAACTTTGTTCTACAGTGAGACACCTGTTTACTGCTGTGGCACCTTGAGCCTCTTTAGGGACTTTTCTCCTTGTTGAATTATCTGTCCCCCTGAGTACATGAATGTCCATTTCCTGAGACGTGCATGTCTATTTCATAGATATATGTCTGTATGTTTCCTGGAACGTACCTATTCCTGGAATGTACCTATTCCTTCTCTGAGACACAGTTATCCTCTCAGGACACATCTGTCTCTCTCTAGGGACACACCTGTTCCCTGAAAGTATTTAGAGTTTTACCCTAAGATAAATTGTTCTATTTTCATGAATGCATCTGTCTTCCCCAAAGGTACAGTATATCTATTCCTGTGTTGGCAAATACTTGTCTTCATACACTTTACTAACATAGATCAAGGGCCTGCTGGTTTAAGACACTGTATGTGGTGTGTTATGTTGAAAAGATAGGTTAAATAGGGTCTGGTTTCTGCCCTCAATGGCTTTCGTCTAGTGAGAAGTTGACGTGTGTACAGATAAACATAACAACATATGGTGAGATTCATGCAAGAGATACAAACTAAATGTCACCCAAGTACAAAAGAAGGAGGGATCACATCTGACTGAGGAGATCACAGGAGGTGCGATCACAGGAGGCTGACAGCAGAGTTACTACACAACTAGGCTATAGATGGAGAAAGTGTAGAAAGGGAAGTGAATTGGGAAAGGGTTGCAATAATCTAGGCTTGAGAAAAGGAGGAGTGGTGAATGGGGAAATGGGAAATAATTATAAAGCAGAGAATATGGTTTAAAATGGGGGGGTGCTGGGCACGGTGGCTCACCCCTGTCATCCCAGCACTTTGGGAGGCAGGGCAAGAGGATTGCCTGAGTCCAGGGGTTTGAGGCCAGCCCGAGCAACTTGGTGAGACCTTGTCTCTACAATAAATCAAAAAAACTAGCCAGCCATGGTGGCACGAGCCTGTAGTTCCAGCTATTTGGAAGGCTGAGGCAGAAGGATCGCCTGAGCCTAGCAGGTGGAGGCTGCAGTGGCCGTGAGCGTGCCACTGCACTCCAGCCTGGGTGACAGAGTGAGACGGACTCAAAAATAAAATAAAATAAAATAAAACGGGAGGGAATCAGCAGACTTGGGTATGAGAGGGATGAAGGAGGGGGAGATCAGTGGTGATTCAGACTTTGAACCTGAGTTACGAGGACAATGATGGCAGTAATAATAGACAAAGGTCATAAGGAGGAGGAACTGGCCTTAAGAGAAGGATGTGCAATATGAGGTAACAATGGAATAAGCTGTTCTGTCCTACAGAGAATTAGAAATTGGAGTGGAAGCCATTGCATCTGTTAAGCTATGGTCTGGCCATGTGCTCTTTGAGCTGTGGCCGCCATGTTTTCTTAGCTTTGGCCCCTTCCCCTACCTTGGGGAGGTGAATATTCTCTCTCTCCTCTCTCTCTCTCTCTCTCTAATTTACTTTCTAAATAAACTATATTTCTCAATCTAAAAAATAAAGAGATGAGTAGAGGTGGAAGGAGGTCAGATCTGAAAATACGGGATTAGAAGTCTCCTACACAGAAACGCAATATGAAGCCAGAGGAGGGATGGGCGCTCTAAGAGAAAAGAGGTATATGAAAAGAAGGCTGAGGTTAGACTCATAGGGTACATTCACTTTTGTTTTTAGTTGTCAAATGATGCTTTATTGAAATAAATTTCATTTTTGCTTCTCGACTAGCTGGGCATTTCACTGCGCCACTGTTGATGTCATCTATGATGTCATGGGGGTGGCAGTCATCAACATTGCAGCCCACAGACTGAGTAGTGTCCGGGATCTCTTTAATGGTTCCAGGAGTTCTCTAGCTAAAGACCAGTGTCACGTTTGTCGGGCAATGTTAACAATCTCATCAAAAGTGATGTTCCCACCGTGTTTAATGTTCTTCGGTTTCTTTCTGTCTCTCGGTGGTTCCTTGAGGGCTCTGATCATCGGAGCAGAGGCAGAAGGTACCTGGGCCTGTCTGTTCTGAATGGTCAGTTCCACTGTAATCCTCAGATCTTTCCAGTCACTGGTTGCCTTGGTGATGTCATCACCAACCTTTTATGGCGACAGACCCAGGAGGCCAATCTTGGGGGCCAGCGCAGATGTGCCACCAACCTCGCCCCCAGTGCGCCTCAGATGCATGACTTTGATCTCGTTGGGGATGAACTTGGGCGGCATAGTGGAGGCGGCTGGTGTCAGGACGACGGAAGAAAGTTGCACCCTGGCCTCCACAGAACCAGAAACCAATAAGAACCATTCACATTTAAGGAATGAAAAAAGGAGACAGGAAAAGAACAAAGAGGTAGCAGCAGAACCAGGATAAAGGAGTGCCATGGAGGCAAGGAAATGATGAGTTTGGAGAAAGTAACGTCAACTAAGCGGTTCATTCATTCATTCAACAGATATCTGTGGTCAGTTTGTGGAGCAGAAATGCAGCATGATATAGGATGGACTTGGGTGAGGCAAAGGCTGGAGATTAAACAGAAAATTGAGGTGGCAGAGTCAAAGGTTGTACATATTTAAAATAGAAATAACTTGAGCATGTTTGTACCCTAGAGGAGAGGAGCCCCAGGGGAAAGAGAGAGAGGAAAAATAATCGAGAGATCCTAGAGGAAGTAGAAAAAGAGAGCAGCCAGGTGCAGTGGCTCAAAAGCCTGTAATCCCAGTACTTTGGGAGGCAGAGGCAAGAGGACTGCCTGAGCTCAGGGGTTTGAGACCAGTCTGAGCAACATGGTGAGACCTCGTCTTTACAATAAATAAAAAAAACTAGCCGGGGGTGGTGGCACATGCCAGTGGTTTCAGCTACTTGGAAGGCTGAGACAGAAGGATCACCTGAGCCCAGTAGGTCAAGTCTATGGTGGCCATGAGCATGCCACTACACTCCAGCCTGGGCAACAGAGCAAGATTCCAACTCAAAAAAAAAAAAAAGAGGCTAGGCTCAGTGGCTCAGCCTGTAATGCCAGCACTTTGGGAGGCAAAGGCAAGTGGATTGCCTGAGCCCGTGGGTTCACCACCAGTCCGGGCAACTTGTCAAGACCTCATCTTTACAACTAAAAAAAATAAAAAAATTAGCCGGGCATGGTAGTACGTGCCTGTAGTTCCAGTTACTTGGAAGGCTGAGGCGGAAGGATTGCCTGAGCCCAGCAGGTCGATGCTGGGGTGGCTGAGTATGCCACTGCACTCTAGCCTGGGCAACAGAATGAGACTCCAACTCAAAAAAAAAAAAAGAGAGAGAAAGAAAAAAGAAAGGAGAGGCAAGGAAATATGTCAAAAGTTTGGCCTTGTAAAGAAAGACACTTCTTCCTTTGAGTCCAAAAGACAGATGGAATTAAAATGGGGAGAAATTTTTCAGGGATGAATCAAATATGGTGGCAGACAGGAAAAGATTAAGGAATTCACAGGCATGGCCTCAAATATCATAAAACAAGAAGGAAAGATATTCTGCAGAGAGCAGGAAGATGGTTATGGGGATTGGTTGGATGACCATGGAAAAGTCTGAATAGTTACCTTGACGGTGACAGGGAGTCAATAACAAAGGCTCACTGGACTGTCCTGAGAGCCCATCAATGTGGCAAGTCAGGGAATCTGGGGACTCAATAAACATGCTCTGGGGATCCCCCATCCCACGCAATACTCCATAGACCAGGAGTGAAAAAATAAGGACAGATATGAGGCATGGAGCAACAGTCCTGGTTTTGGAACTGACCAGTAGTACCTAGGCAGGCAAGGGGACAGAACTGAGTAATCTAGGCTGGGTAAGGAGTCAAATAAGATCAAAAACGGTCTTGAAACTAGATTTGAAACTTGAGGCCGAGTGCAGTGGCTCAAGCCCGTAATCCCAGCACTTTGGGAGGCCGAGGTAAGAGGATTGCCTGAGCCCATGGGTTTCAGAACAGCCTGGGCAACTTGGCAGGACCTCATTTCTACAGTGAAAAAAAAAAATTAGCCAAGTGTGATAGCACGTGCCTGTAGTTCCAGCTTCTTGGAAGGCTGAGGCAGAAGGATCGCCTGAGCCGAGCAAGTCAACATTGGGGTGGCCATGAGTGTGCCACTGCACTCCAGCCTAGGCAATGGAGTGAGATTCCAACTCAAAAAACAAAAACAAAACAAAACCTAGAAGGTGAGGTTGTGGCAGAGGTGAGAGAGAGATGGCTGTGATCAAAGATGGCAGTTTTAGGCCAGGCGTGGTGACTCACGCTTGTAATCCCAGCACTTTGGAAGGCTGAGGCAAAAGTATTGCTTGAGCTCAGGAGTATGAGACCAGTCTGGGCAACGTAGTGAAGCCTCCTCTCTACAAAAAAAATAATAAAAAATAAAAAAATTAGCTGGGCGTGATGGTGTGTGCCTGTAGTCCTAGTTACTCGAGAGGCTGAGGTGGAAGGATTGCCTGAGCCCTGCAGGTCAAGGCTGCCGTGAGCTGTGATCATGCCACCACTCCAGTCTAGGTGACAGAATTAGACTCCAACTCAAAAACAAAATCAAAGACAAAATAAAAAACCAAACACAAAAAAGATAGCAGCTCTGAGTCACAGAAGCAGAGCTATCTCTAGTGCTGTAAGCTACAAACTGTACTCCCATAGGTGCTGCAGGAGCCTGAGGATTGGTGAAGTCAAGGACACGAGAACAGAGGAGACTGAGGATTTGGGAGGTGTTTGATGGACACGAATGTTCATATTAAAAGAAGCGTAGCCGGATGCGGTGGCTCACACCTGTAATCCCAACACTTTGGGAGGTAGAGGCAAGAGGATTGCCTGAGCCCAAGGGTTCAAGACCAGCCTAGGCCACTTGGCGAGACGTCATCTCTACAATAAAAATAAAAATAAAAATATTAGACAGGCGTGGTGACACTGTGACTATAGTTCTGGCTACTTGGAAGTCTGAGGCAGAAGGATCGCCGAAGCCCAGCAGGCTGGGGTGGCCAAGAGTGCCACTGCACTCCAGCTTGGGCGACGGAGTGAGACTCCAACTCAAAAACTAAAATAATAAAATAAAATAAAAGTACAGTAGAAACAAGTGTAGACAGGGGTCTGGAGACCCAGGTACAAAACACTCTGCTAACAAACTGCCGCTTTGGGGAAGCCGCGTCTTTCCTCTAGGGCTGAGCCCACAGCTTCCCTGGGCTCTTTCTGCTCTAAAAGATAAGGCGTGCGGTGGCTCAGCCTGTAATCCCAGCACTTTGGGAGGTTGAGGCGAGTGGATTTCCTGAGACCATCGGTTCGAGACCCACTTGGGCAACTTGATGAGACCTCATCTCTACAATAAATCAAAATGGGCTTGGTGGCTCAGCCTGTAATCCCGCGCCTTTGGGTGGCTGAGGTGAGTGGATTGCCTGAGCCCGCGGGTTCAACACCCGCCTGGGCAACTTGGCGAGACCTCATCTCTAAAAAAAAAAAAAAATTAGCTGGGTGTGGTAGCGCGCGCCCGTAGTTCCCAGCTACTTGGAAGGCTGAGGCGGAAGGCTCGCTGGAGCCCAGCAGGTCGAGGCTGCAGTGGCCGGGAGCGTACCACTGCACTCCAGTCTGGACGACTTAAAATATAAATAAATAAAAGATAAGGCTTTTCGGGATAATGGCAGGTGACGGACTGCTGGCGAGGACGCCTCCCATCGGGCCGCCTCCCTTCGGAGAGGTGCCCGGAACCTTTCTGCAGTGCTTTCTGCCCGGACGTGCCGAAGCGGAGACCGGAAGTCCTTTGCGGGGAGCTTCCGGGTTTCCTGGGCTACTACGATGGCGATGAGTTTCGAGTGGCCGTGGCAGTATCGCTTCCCGCCCTTCTTTACGTGAGGCTCAGACCCCAAGAAGCCCCGCTGTGCCTCCCTCCCCTCCCTCGGACCCCGGGCTTAGCCCTGACGCTTCACATGGGGAGGGGGAGAAAGGACCCCACCACCAGCACCCTCGCTCCCTCACTTTCGCCCCCGAGCAGAAGCTGCCTCTCGTCCTCTAATTCTACGCCCCACTCCCTTCACCCAGCAGGTTACAGCCGAACGTGGACACTCGGCAGAAGCAGCTGGCCGCCTGGTGCTCGCTGGTCCTGTCCTTCTGCCGCCTACACAAACAATCCAGCATGACGGTGATGGAAGCTCAGGAGAGCCCTCTCTTCAACAACGTCAAGCTGCAGCGTATCCTCCCTCAGGTTCCTCCACAGCCCACACACACACCCTTCCGCACTTTCACATGTGTCCAGCACGTCCCCTCCCCAACGCCCTTGCCCATGGTAGGCAGGTTCCCACCCAGCTGGACTCGGGAAAGAGTGAGAATGTGTAGCTGACATCCATTTTACCGCCCAAATGCAGCACCACATCCCCTAGCCCCAGGTAGTGATGAGTACTCAGGTGTCATTCAGGTCTTAGAGTGTCTTCCCCGAAGCCAAGTCCTAAACTTTTCAACCTGAGCCCTTTTGCCTATTTGAATCTTGTCCTCTTATGTGTGAGACTCAAACCCTGGTACTATCTTTAATTGTTTTCTCCACCTCCCACTCCTCCCAGGAAGTAAGGGTCACTTGTTTTTGCTGCCTGATTCATCCCTAAAATATCTGGAGAAAGTCTGAAAAGAGACAGGAGACGGAGGGTGAGGAATAGTCATACTTTTCATTTTCTAAGGCTCCTTCTTTTAATTGGAAGCGTTTCCCTGTACCTTCCTCCCTCAAATATCCAGGAAATGGCAGTTCATATCTTGTTGGGAAATTGCATGCATAGTGTGTGGGAGAGGAAGAGGCAGATGGTTCTCACCATGGGGCTGGCCCTGAGAATCTTTGTTCCACCCAATTTACACGTATGCCATTCCCTTAACCTTAAACCAGGGAAACTTCCTGTGGAATCAATCCAGATTGTATTAGAGGAACTGAGGAAGAAAGGTGGGTTCAGTTCCCAGATTTCTAGTTTTTCCTAGTTGAGTTTTCTTGAGGGCAGATGAAGACAAGTCTTTTCCCTTTAATAACTCCTGGCTTGAAACCTAGAGTGTTCTTTACAGTAGGTGGCCTGATTCCCAAGACCTTTCTCTTTATCATACACAAAATTAAAATCTTTCATTGCCTTAAACTTGAAGAGAAGTGAAAGAAGGTTAATGAATGCTCTGCAGACCAAAACAGTAAAATAAATACTGACTCTTTCTGAAAGTTGAGTCTCTTCCACTCTGTCCCACCTTGGTATTTACCTCTTTGTTCCTTGATCATGATGGTTTCATAAGTATCTGTTTTACAGGGAACCTCGAGTGGTTGGATAAGAGCAAGTCTAGCTTCCTGATCATGTGGCGGAGGCCAGAAGAATGGGGGAAACTCATCTATCAGTGGGTGAGACCATCCTGCTGCTGAGTAATTGACAATGACCCATCTCTATGACAGGAGAATTATATTCGTGCCCAGCAGATACCTGGTGTTCCCAGATCCAAACTGAGCAAAGTGAGGAAGGGACAGAAAGAGGAAGTGTAGGCCTTCTAGGCAAACCTCTTTTAGTGACTCAATTTCTTTGACTGCACAGAACTTCCCTTTCTTTGCCTGTAGGAGGCCAGAGGCTACATGAGGCTATGTTTGGAGAACACAGTGCTAGGGACCATGAGTGCTATTGTTGGCTGGAGCCTCTGGCCACAGGAGATAAATGGGGAAAGGAAGGGGAAAAAAACCTGGGGCCCCTCCTCCACTGCACCCTTATGGGACTGTCTACAACATGAATGAGGTGTTCTGAACCATTGTGGGTGTGGAGACAAAATACTCTCCCCCAAAGTCCTAGCCACCACCAGCACCAAACATTCCAAAGGGAGGGAGAAGCATCAACAACCTAAATATAACAAACACACACCACCCATTCCTAAACAGGAAAACAACCAGAATGAGGGATCAGTTCTCAGACACGTGAAGGCCTGTGGTTTAGTGGTTCCAAAATGTGTGTGTGTACACATACAAATATAGCACCTGCAGGGTTTATGGGTTTTGGGCCACTCTGTAGAGGTGACAGCCCTGATTTAGGGATTGGTACCATTCCTGGATCAGAGAGGCGGAGCTGGGGAGTTTACTCTCTCCCAGGAGATTCTTGTCCTGAATCAGTCCTCATTTTCTGTGTCCACAGGTTTCTAGGAGTGGCCAGAACAACTCCGTGTTTACCCTGTATGAACTGACTAATGGGGAAGATACAGAGGATGAGGGTAATGTCCCCCCCAGTTTTGTCATCAATTCTCTTTCCAATCTTGATCTAATTGATATTCAGACTTTCCAGTTCTTGTCTCTGATTTTTGATTTTCAAGTACTGTAATACTTAACCCACATCCAAGGATTCCGTAACCAACCTGCATTCACATGTTAAAAAAAACACATTTTGTTTATTTGGGTGTATTTGTATTTTTCTAGGGATAGAGTCCATATTACAAGATTTCCAGGGGCATCTGTGATCCATGAAAGGTTAAGAATTTACCTTTCCTCATTCTGCATTTGCTGAACCAGGGCAGAGGATTAAACCTGAAATCTCATTCCTTGCTGACTCAGGCTGTCTTTCTCCCTTTATTCTTTTTTTTTGAGTTGGAGTCTCACTCTGTCACCCAGGCTGGAGTGCAGTGGCCGC